GATTCTTCATTTATGTTACAAAGTTTTGGATTTCTAGCTTTATTTTTAAAGATACTAGAAGTCAAATTCAGGTCTCTGCACATGTTAAATAGTGCTCTACCCTCAGCTGTGGCATTTACATTCAATTCTTTGTGTTTCAATCGGCTTCATCATCCACCTGTGTTTTCATGTTGTTCACTTGTTTCATTAAATCTCTTTGCATACTATAGTTATTTGAAATCCTTGAGTGAAAATTCCAAAGTCTCTGTCTAATCTGAGACTAGTTTGATGCTAGCTTTATCTCTCAAACTGTTTTTTCTTGCTTCTTAACATGCCTTATAATGTTTTTTATTGAAAGCCAGACATAGCATATCATATTATCATATAACAGGAACTGTTATATGAAATATATGTACTGTTTCAGTACCAATGGATGACAAGTCATAATTTCTGCACCTTATTTTCATGTGGTTCAGCAAAAATGTGCTATGCAAAAAATAGAAAAGTCTTGTTATTGCCTCTTCATTCTCTTTATCTCTGAATTCTTTGCAATAATGGTTTCACAAACATTAAAACCCACTGATCCTAAGCTTATTTTTAATTCTTAGCTCTAGGTAAAGCCATCTCTTTTCTCTTTCCCCAATACTCATTTATGTTTGTCTACTAACAATTGTTTGTGTCAGATAACACAATGAAAGTGACAATCTCATATTAAAATGTATTAAATATTCCAGAAATATTTTCAGTTGAGATTAAAATGTTGACTTCCAAGCTCAAATTTACTTCAGTTTTACAACAGTCAATGCCATGAACCCAAATTATCATTTTTAATTCAACATTCATTCATTATGGACCTGGAATTTCAGCTTATTGCCAGAGAATAGCTCCAAGAATATATAAGTTAAGGAACATTTTCACAGAATTCAAATAAAAATTTTAAATTTTATATATATATATAATTTATCATTTACTGAATATATAGTCAGTAAATGATAAATTTTATGTGGATGTGATTTACTAGTTATATGCGAAACTCTGTACACTACTAATGATGTCATATCCAGAGATATTATTTCCAATTGTAGTAATAAAACATGCTAAAACAAAGTTTAAACTTTATAGCATGATTTATACATAATCTATAAGATTGCTTAATATGAAGGGGTTGAAGGGCACACAGGTAATGGGGAAAAAATAAGAACCAAGATACATCAAGTACAGGTACAAGCACCCAATGATAAATGTAAATGTATTGTATACCTAAAATGTACCAATAAAAGAATTTAAGCAAAAAAAACCCCACCATATTTTAGAATCTTATCTTCACATTATAATTTAAACTTTGCTTAAATTTTCAAAGTTGACAACTACAAGAGTTTTGGGTTCAAAATTATGACACAGGAATATAAGTCTGAACTGACTTACAGAACTCTAAGAAAGTTATAAAGATACATTTATTTTGTAGTTAGATCAAATCATAGGCCTATTGTGAAAATTCAGTGAAAGACTTGTAAAACTATTCTGAGACACTATACAAATTAAGATATTGCACATTAATATCACTACAGTGTTGGGCAAAGAGATGACCAAGAAATGTGTTAAATAAGTGAGTGAGCATATACATTAGTAAATGAGTAGTAAATAAGTGTATACCAAGAAAAACTGCAGTTTTATTTCTATTATATACGTATTCCACCCCAAAAAATTTGAAAGCAAATATTCAGAGGCTTGCACATCAATGTTCAAAGTAGCACTATTCATCAAGCCAAAATGTGAAAATAATCTGAATATCCACACATGGATGAATAGTTAAACAAGACGTACACATAAATACAATGTAATACTAATCAGCCTTAAAAAGGAATGATAGGTACTACAACATAGGTGAATCTTGAAAACATTATGCCAAATGAAATAAACCAGGTATAAGTGGACAAATATTGACTGATTCCACTTACACGAGGTAGGTAGAGTAGAAAAATTCCCTGAGACAGAACACAAACCAGAATACTAGGGACTGGGGGAAGGAAAGCATGAGGAGCTAGTGCTGAATGCACACAGTTTCCATTTGAGATAATGAAAACGTCCTGGAAATAGATACCAGCGAGTGTTGCACAACACTGTAAGTGTACCTAATGGCACTGAATAGTACACCTAAATGGTTAGAATGCTACTTTTCATGTTACATATATTTTACTCTATTAAAAGATAAATTGTATCATGTATTGTTGTGTTTATCCGGGTTTTTTGTTTTAAAATATACTGAAAAAGACTATTGATATTTATCAACTTTTTCTTTCATCAGGAACAACAGAGGGAGAATGAACTTGCATCTTTTTCCAGGACTGAAAGGAAAAATGTGTCAACCCAGAATCCTACATATGAGGTGTGATCAAAATATAGGTGAATGTTTAAAATTTAAAAATGTATTATAGTAAGAGACACATTGCCATTTATCTCCCTCTAAAAATGCCTCCTGGTTTTCAATGCACTTATCCCTTTGTTCCTGCCACTTTCGGAAGTAGTCCTTTTTTTTTCACTAAGAGGAAATATTTTATTTAAAATATTATTTGTGGATTTCTTTAAGGTGTCAATAGATTACAAACCTAAAAGAAATGACACTGATTCATAATTATAGGGAAATTTATAAACTTTTTGTGGCTATCACATGATTAAAAATAAAAAGAGAATTTGACTATTTTAATTTAGCAGAGTTAATTTGAGGAAGGAAAAAAAGTACCATTTGCTTATGTTGCAGCTCTCAGAATCAGAATAGTAGTTCTAGAAGTCCTTTTTCATGAATGTCTTTATGAGATGTGACCAAAAATACAGTAAATACTGTTGCTGAGCATCATCCAATGAAAAACCAGACTTGGAAAAATACTATGATGTGGTTTTTTCTACCTTATTCATCAGATTTGGCAGTATGAGATTTCTGACTCTTCCTCATAGTCAAAATGGCCATGATAGGTAAACATTTTGAAACAATTCAGGACACTGAGGCAGACACAACAGCATAACTAAAGCTATTCAGGAAAGAAAACTGCCAGAACTTCTTCAGAAAGTGGCAAGAATGATGAGATAAAATGTGTTCAAAATGAAGGGGTGTGTTTTGAGGAAGAGTAATGGCAATGTATCTTTTAGAGTAATATTTTTTAAATTTAAACATCTATGGTTATTTGTTGATCTCACCTCATATGCTGAAATATTCTTTCAAAATGATGGGTAAATCAAAACATTCTCGGATGAAAGAAAAGCAAGTGAGCTTGTTAACTATAGACCTATTTTAAAGAAAATGTCTAAAAAGAAAGAAAATGATAAAGAAGGAAACATAAAACATTAAGGAGAAGAAATTGTGCAAAGAGTAAAATTTATGGCTGAATACTTTTTATCTTTCTTCTTCTGCATCCTAAATTGTGGTTAATGGTTGAAGAAAAAAATAGCATTTTCTGAGGTAGTTTTAATATATAGAGAGCAAACATTTAAGATGATTATTTTATAAGTAGAGGAGGACAAAGGGACTTTAGAGAAAGAAAGCATTCTATACTTAAACAAGTAAAATGAGTACATGAGTAGAATGTGATAATTTATACGTTTCCGAAACCCAGAGAAACCACTACAAAAACTTCAAAAAGACAAAACTCAAGAACAAAAAGAAATGTTCAGATAACCAACAGAAAGGTAGAAAAAAAGGAAACACAAAATGGAAAAACAGAATAAAAACCGATAAACAGAAAACAAAAATTAAATGTCAGACTTCAGCCTTAACATATGAACAACATGAAATAGAAATGGTCCTACCAAATCAATTAAAAGTCAGAGATTGGGAGAATGGGTTTTAAAATGTTAATTGGCAATCTGTTTTATGTAAGAAACAGATTCAAAAAAAATGGCAAGTCAAAGATACAAATATGAGAAAAGTTGTGTCATACAAACATCAATGGAAAAGAAAGCAACTACAGGTAAAGTAGGTCTCAGAGAAAAGACAATTACCAGAGAAAACAAAGATCATTACATAGTGATAATGAGGTCCGTACAACAGGAAGAGCACTGCATAATGATAAATGTGTGCACTAACAACAGGGCTACAAACATGTGACAAAAAAAGTGATAGAACTCACAAAAGAAATAAATCCACAACAATAACAGACATTTCAACAACCCTTTCTCAAAAACCGATAGAACCTTTAACAAAAAAAATCATCCAAAATTCAGAACTCAATAACATCATGAAACAATAGAATACAATTGAAATTATAGTACATTCCACCAAACCAAATCGGAATCCATATCTTTTTCTGGGTTTCCACAGAACACATATCAAGATAGAGAAAACAATCACAGACTGGATTAAAATATTTTAAAACCATGTATTTTACCAGGGATTCATCTCTAATATATATAATCTCTAAAAATTAACAATACCACAAAGAAGTCACGAATAACATAATTTTAAAAGTTGACTGAATGGAGATGGAGTGAGTGAGTAATTTAACCGAAATCATCTCCTCTGTAAATTTATCTAAGTCCAAACTCTGTTCTCTAGAAACATTAAGGTCAATCAATTCCTTTCATTTGAACATATAAATCTAATGTACCATAGCTAACCATTATACAGATTAAAATAGTTAATTTCAATAATCATTTACTTAAAACTTCTAAGTACTAGAAGACAAAAGTAGTTAATAAGATCCCTGTTATCAAGTAGTTTATTGTTTTGTATAACAGGATATAATGGCTACATGACAAACACAAATACTTAAACTGAAATCAGGGGGAGAGAGAGAGGGAGGGAGAGAGAAATAATGCTTTAAATGTGACCAACACACTTCTGGTCTGGGAACTCTGGAAAGGTTTCATGGAGGACGTGAATAGTTGGCTGTTCATGAAATAGATTTACAACAGAAGGCAAACTCCAAAGGCATCCTTTGCATAATCAGCTAATATACAAAGCAAAGCTGAGTCCATTCCTCCCTCCCTCTTCCAAAATCTGCAAAGGATTCTCTCACTAGGGATCTTACCATGGTGAGTGGGCAAGAGGCAGATGTGCTTGACTAGAACATGGTCTTATGCAGCCTGAAATCAAAGAAAAAACAAGGAGGAAAAAGCTAGGAAAACCTCTGGAGACAAAGATTTCCTATGGCCTTGGATCCTTCTGGTTGGGGCAGCATGCTGACCAGCATCTATAAAGGTGAGCTTATGTGATTGATTGCACAGCGTCATAGATTCATATTCAGCGAGAAAAAAATAAAAATTATTTTGTGGGGAACTCATGAAAGCATAAAATTAGGCGTCAAAGAGTTTGAGTTAAACTGAAAGACCCATTGGACATATTTCTTCCTCTTCAATTTTTTGGAACATTTGTGAAGGATTGGGATTAGTTTCTTTAAATATTTGGTAGAGTTCATCTTTTGGTATGAATTCATCAAGTCCTGGATTTCTTTTTCATAGGAGCTGTTAAATTACTGATTCATTCTCCCTACTTGTTATTAGTCTATTCAGAATTTCTGTTTCTTCCGGATTCAGTATATGTAGTTTGCATATTTTTAAAAAATTCATCCATTTCAATAATTCTACCCAATTTTTTCACACACAGTTACTCATAGTAGTCTCTTATAACCCTTTATATTTTGTGATATAAGTTCTAATGTCTCCTCTTTCCTCCTTAGACTTCCTAAACCTCATTCTAGACATTATTGACTCTAAATGCATGATAACATACTATTAAAATATTAAGGTAGAACATTAACATTCACTGTATCAGTCCCTAGATTCCATGACAATAAGAGGTATAGGTATTTTGCTCATCATAATATAAACAGGACCTTGTACAGTACCTGGCATGGTAGGTATTTGCTACATGATTGTTGGATGAAAGGATGGATGGATGGATGGGTGGATGGATGGATGGACAGATGTCAAATGTATTATGGAGCTTCATGGATGGATGGATGAAAACTGAAATTTCCTAGCCAAAATCTACTGACCAAGTGATTATGTGTCAGCACTACAAAGTAATGCTGAAGTTGTATTCTACATAATTTCCATACAAGGAAGAGTTCCAAACATAAAGAGAAAAAACAGCTGTTGTGTAAGGGGCAGAATTATTAGTCCAAAGATCTCTTCCCAGAGGGTATCACCTTAGTTACTCAGCTGGGTTAAGAAAATAAATTTGGTCATAACATCTAAATATCTTTTACTCTTTGGAAAGAATAGTGATCCACACTAGCCAAAATCATAAAAAAAGATCTAGCTGATAAATGAATTCATTAACAAGAAATTTTACTTCCCTAAAGACTATACTACTCTTCTTTGGTAGTTAGCACATTCCTTTCCTGACTGCAAGTCTGTGTGGTTCAGATGACAATTAATTCAGAGCTAAGTGACCTTCCCACTCAGTAATTCAGGGAACCCTCTCTCTAGACAGGCCCGGAGACATGTGTCACTGCCCTCCACCCCCACAACAGACTTCTTGATGCCTATCTATCCCATATTTCCTCTTTGGAAGGCCTTCATATTTCCACATTTGCATCCTTAGAAAAGTTAATTCACTTATCTTTTTCATCTGTAAAACCACACAAATTTGTTACACAGTTTAGAGATAATGTACATTTCCAATACACGTGGTAGATGATAATAAGTGATAGATTTGTGATATAATGAGTTTCAGAGGCAAGGACCATAAATAATTCATAGGAAGACACAATATGCCAGCCTAATGCAGTAACCATGGGAGTATCTGAAGGTAGCAATTCAATGGGGTATCAAAAGCCCCATGTCAGGAATTTTACAACAAAGAAGACTGAAGATATAACAAAAGCTAAATTTCATTGTCGTGTGAGAGGGATTTTTATGTCGTCCCAAAAGCAATGAGGACCCAGCCACTGAAGAACTCTTAAAATACAGGGCATGTTTGAGTCTTTGTTTTACAAAAATAACTGGTTACCCTTCCTTGATTTAGAAGAGGAAAGATGAGTAACAGTAAAGGTAACCCATAGTGAGGATTAAAGGTAAGGCATCAAAGTAAAGACAGACAGGATAGGAAGATATGAGGGATATTTATGTGGAAGCTTATAGGACTTAACAGCTAACCAGATACAGTGGGTGGAAAGGAGGATGCCAATATGATGCACAGAAATTTAATTGAGATGACTACATGAGTCTGTCATCATTTCCCAAAATAAAACCACATTTGAGGGGAAAATAAGGAGGGGGATTGAAAGAAGAAAGATAAGGAGTTACATTTGTTATGTTGAGTTTGAAGCTCCAGTGGGGATTGTCAGTAGAAATACTGAGTATGCAAATGGGTGTGTGGAGATTGGAAACATAAAAGTAATTCAGGGTGGAAGCAGAGTTGAGAGCCAGTGGCATCTAGATAACAACTGATACCATGGAAGGAGATACGTCCAATCACAGAGAACCAAAGCACAAGAGAGAACTCCAGATGAGGGAATCTGAGGCAGCCAATCAGGAAAAGGCAAACCAGGAGCAAAAAAGATCAAGACAGTGAGTAGCCAAGAGAAGAGACCACAGTGTGTGAAGGAATGCTTTCGATGTGTTTAACAACATAAGTGACCTTTCTCGAAGAACTCTTAGTAGAGTGGTAGGAATGGAGACTGATTTTGGAGTGATTAGCAAAATAAAGTGCAAATATATAGTGTCAGAGAGCCTGATATGTGAACCCTTCATCCCTATCTTTTAGCCTTTGTCAAATTCATCAGCCCTACCTCTCATCCTATTCCATTCAGGCCCTACAATCCAGTCATTAAAAAATACATGTCATTTCCCAAACGTACCCGGTCATTTCTCAACTTTTCTCACATACCCTTCTTTCAAAAGTAAGCAAAACTGTTGCTGCTTCCATCAAGTCTACCTGCCCCCACCCTTGTGTCTTAGTCACTTTCCTAGTCATTGAGACATAATTTCCAACACTCACAACTTAAAGGACAGGTTCACTTTGACTCATATTCACAGTTCATAGTTGGCTCTCTGTGAGGCAGGAAGGCACAGTGAAAAGTTCTAGCAGAGGAAAGCTGCTCACCTCCTAGGGGTCAGGAAGCACAGAGTGAAGAGAGGACCCAGGGAGGGAGACACACCCTTCTAGGCCACACCCCCAGGGGTCCCCGTTTCCTAACAGCACATTGATCTGTAAACTCTTTGGTGAACTAAATGAGTATAGTGACCCCATGATTAACTCACCTCCAAAAAGCCCAACTCTGCATGTATGAGGCTTTCGGGTGACATCTAAACATAAACCATAACAATTTGTGCCTCCCAGAACAGACATGGCTTCTTCTCCCTTTGACTCCTACTATACCCATTGCATAAGTCCATCCTGATGACTGTAATGGCAGCCAGGACCTCAACTCTTGGAAACCCCCAGTCTTTATATGAATCTGGTAGATTGCAGAAATAGTCACAAATTTCCCCTAACCCCAATTCACATCATTTTGCAAGATGATTTTATTGCTTCACTTACCCAAATGTTCCTCCAATTCTTGAATCACATTTTGAACATTTAGTTGGATTAGCCAAATAAGACATTAAAAAACATGGCAAAAGCAAGACTTGAAAAGCACTCATCCGTGGATACTTTAGAGGCCAGATCACTTTGTTAATAAGCTTAATATGGCTAGAGAAACGGAGGCCACATGGAAGAGGAAGCTCTCTCAATACTGTGAAATTACCGTGTGCGTGAGAGAAACCATTCTAAACCAGAAGGTCTGATACACCAGAACTGAGCCACCCTAATTATGAATCAATTATGAAAAATAATAACTGCGCTGTTTTAAGCCACTAAGTTCTGCAGTGGAATTTAGTTAGTAGCAAAAACTAAAAGATATGAACAAGAAACACCATGGAAATTTGACTCATTTTGTCAAATTGTCCTTCAAACTCAAGGAGTACCCTGTGTTCTTCGAGGTTACATTATTAACGCTCAGATTCTTTAGTGGAATTTACCCTATACTTCAAAAAATGAATATCTTTTTATCTATAGGTTGGGAAAGAATGAGGTAGATTTCAAATAAATTCAGAGACTGGGGAAAAATGGAAAAGGTCAACACTGAGTATATAACTGCAAGTGACACATTGAACCAGTGATTTAATAAGGGAGTAGCATTCATAACCTGCAGAGTTCCTGAGGACAAAATGCCTAGGGCTGCTCTAGACGTCAGAAGAAGCTATAACTCAAAGAACTAATCAAATTTAGGAAATGGGAGCCATTGCCAGAAATGGAGTCACAGATTTCAGTGTAAATTAAATCTCCTTTTTAACACTAGCAAACAATGCCCAATTTATGTCAAACATTCACAGATATGCCACAGTTTTTACCTCATGGATAATTTTTTGAAAAACTTAATAATCAATAATTTTAATAAGATTATCACCCCTTGGATGCCAAGATGCTTCTGAATTTAAAAAAAAATATTATTTTGGAGATCATCATTAGATTCACTCAAATTTGTTTAAAAGGAATAAATACCAAGAATGCTATTCTTCATAGTTGGTGGTCTGCTAAACCAAAGGAAAGGAATATTTCACTCTCAATTCTCCAGTGGGTCTTCACTCTGAAATTCAGCTAACCTTAAATGAACCACAGCTCCCAAGGATATTCTCAAATAATTGCATTTTTTTCTTGAGAATCAGAAAGCAAAATTTGTCCTAAGACACTTCTATTTGTTTATGCCCAAGGAGATGAATGATATTTTTTGAGCCAAAACATGTTAGAATTTCACAAGAGTTTAGAAGTGCTTTTGTCTTAGAGAGTAAAATATATTGGCCTTTGTGTTTGAGAAGGTAAAAGTGAAACGCTATGGAATACTTAGTCTAATGAAAATTAACCACCTGAGTATGAAAGCTTTTTTAACTACTTTACGTATCATAAACATTTAAAAGCCTTGGGAGGAGGCACACTATAAACAATTGATAAATACACGTGCTGCTCATGAACAGAGGCATACAGTAGTTAAAAATAATTAACTCAAGCTGGGGATGGTGGTGTACACCTGTAAGTCTAGCCCTCTTGAAAGTTGAGGCAGGAAACTTACAAGTTGAACCCCAGCCTGGGCAAGTTAATGACTTCGTGAAACCCTGTATCAGAATAAAAAATTTAAAAGGGTTGGGGATATAGCTCAGTATGAAGACCCTAGGTTCAGTTCTCTACTACCAAAAAAAATTAACTCAGCATAACTAAGATTATTAATTGAATTCCAAGCATTTATTGAGCATCTTATGTTCATGTATTTGTTCAACAAATATTTTGTGAGCAGTTACTACATTCCAGGTGCTGGTTCTAGATGCTGGAATAATGTAAACAAGAACATAGCCACCTGTCTTCACAAAATCCAGTGGAGAAATCCAAAAATAAGCAAGATAATAAATCTGTGAGAAAAGTGAGCTTTTATGATATATGTAAAAACTGAGATACACAAAACACCACGATAAATGAAAACATGCTCACTGACTTTAAGTGGTCCCTACAGGACATGACATGAAAGCTAAGATTCAAGATATACAGGAAAAATAAACAATATAAAACAATTAGTGACATGTGTGCAGGCTGACAAGGTAGAGGGTAAGCACTGATTATATCTGAAGAAATAAAAGAATAATGGATCAAAGATAAAATGCAACAGAAAAGCAGAGATGGATAATGTGCAGGAATCATGCAACTGAACAGCCATGCAGCCTGTAATTCTCTGTGTCTATTCACTTCCCTGGTACAGAGGCTGTGGCCCTTGGCAGTGTCACTGGAAATGTGGAAAGAGCCACTGTAGTGGCCACAGGGACATGGTCACCACCTCTTGCTTCATGTAGCACTTACAGATGATCCTTGCCTTTTCCTCAGTCATGTCACCTTTAGAAGCCTAGACCCTTTTATCTTTCACTTAATAAACAGTGTTTTAATTGGCCAGAGCTTTGAAGAGAAGTTTTGCAAAATGCTTTTCTTGCTATCACCCAGAATATATAGTACAGTTTTACTTGTAATTGACTCAAGCTTCAGCAACATTGAACTTTCAACTTATCCAAAATTAATATAGTACAAATAACAATTTACTTGATTTCCTCATTGAATGTTAGCACTTGGAATTAGTTTCCTTCTGTGCCACTATGCACAAAATCAGGAAAGGTTTTTATTTTGTTTATTAACTTGCATGTTTCACTGTAATGGAGTTACTGTAGAGACGCTAGCAAGTAGAGAATCACAGGGCATAATTGAGAGAAAACAGGGAGAAGGTCAAGCTCCTCACCAACACAGGGCAGATTTTTCACACCACTGGCCTAAAAGGTTAAAAGGTGCTTAATCATGTGCACATCAGGGAAATCAAGAATGGCCCGCACCTGCATAACATGTTAGATCCTTATAAATGATTGGGGCAGCAAAGAGAATGGACCAAGGTGCTCAGACTGATGATGGAGAGTCGTGGGCACTTTGTGTGTTAGGCTTGGACCTCACAGGTAAACACAAGAGGATCCGGGGCCTTGGAGCTGGGATGTACTAGGAATTCCAGTGCTTCAGGAAGATGTTACCGATATGTAAATTAGATCAGAGTTGAGAAAGTGTCTTCTCTTTGGACAAATTTTAACTCTTTAAACACAGTGCTTAGTGAATCTACAGACAGATATGTTAGTTGCATCTTTTACTTGTTTTTTTGGCAATGCTGGAGATGGAGCCCAGGGATGCTAGGTAAATGCCCTACCCCTGAGCTACATCCTCAACACCCCCTAACATTCTTTACAAAGAAGGCTGCAGCACTCCTAGTTGAAACTAATATCCTTGAAATTTCTTTCTGCTGCCTCCCACCTAATCCTGTCTAGTGCCAATCATCCAACATTCAATGTAACAACATACACTGGTTTCTGGGTCAAAACAACCAGTAATTTAAAATGCTTTTTTATTCCATTCACCAATAATACACCAAAAACATGACAAATGTCAATGCCCATATTTGCTAGCTAATTTTTCCAAAATTTGGTTTGCACCCAAGTCATTGAAATTCCCAATTATCATGTGTCCATTGGCTTTGGAAGGTTTTGTATGACTGGATTGTTGATGTAAAGCTACTTTGAGATTTATAGGATTTTTTACAATTATTGATTAACTAGATTTTAATGTAAAATACTGGGTGAAGTCTGTTTTGTTTTATTTTCTCTAATTCAAAATTCTTGTGGGAGTGGCGGTAGTAGAGAAATGTGCATAAATATTCAAATATCAGATGCACGATCTATCAAAAGTAAAAATTTGCTGTTCTTACTATTGTCCATATATGAGTTCTGTGCAGAGTTTGAATGGTTCTCAAAAAGGTGAAGAGTTACTTTGCTAAAAAAAGAAAAAAGCTAGGCCAGGGATTCAGCTCAGTGGTTCCGCCACCTGCCTCACAAACATAAGGATCCAAGTTCAATCCCCAGTACCAAAAAAAAGCCCCCCCCCCAAATCATCCACACCATAAGCCTTCATTGGCTTACCTTACAACTTACAGATAGAGTAAATTTTCAAGTCCTTCAAAAGCAGTCCTGGAAATCTTCCTGATTTGATTGTTGTTCAGGAGACTAAAACAAACAAATAATTCTGGAATAAGAAACAGATTCTCCAAACATTATAACAATCCTGCTAAATATAATGCTTTAGACAATTAAAAATATTTACAGATATGCTCATTAAATTTAGAAATGTATAATTTTCCATTTTTAAAGGCTATATTAAAACATCAGTTTGTCACAAAAGACTCTTCAAATATAATTTATATTTATTAAATTACCCCCAAAGTATCACTAAAAGAGCATTAAAAACCTAAGGGCAAATTTTTGTTTTCCTGAAACCTGTCATCTAAAAGGAAAATTATCAACAGTCATAGTTAACAAAGGGATGAATTCCCAAACAAACAGATGGAGAATTTATGACGGTTAGGCATAAGCATCTTCCTTGGAAAAATAAGTATCACAGCTATTGGCACAATGGACTCTCATTGTGTATTTGTTTAGCTGTCAAACTCAGAGTCAATTACACCATAGGATATGAAGCTTTTATTATATAGTAGTATCAAATGGTCCAAAAATGACTTCAAAAATATCCAAGGGGAAAAATAACAGGTGACAGAAATAAATTAGATTTGAACAGTAAAACAAGTTTCAGAATATCACCTTTGTGGACTCTGTGAGATTTGGAAAGAAAACTCTGGCAAATGAAAATTATAAATTTGTTTCCTGGTAAATACATGTGAAAGTTCTTTCAAGTCTAAATTATTACAGCATGTTGAAATGCATGGGCAAAGTCTGCTAAGTGGCTTGGCACACGTGTCCCTGCATACTCTCTACTATCTAAAACCTTCAAACTGTCTAAATAGATACTGCCAGAGTCAAATGCTAGAGGACTTGCTTTTACTGCATTATAATAGATTTGTTTTGCACATTTTCTCTGTTGTATGACTGACTAGGAATCAGTATTTTTGGACAGTGGAGTAGGTGATTTAGTCATTTTACATACACAATTTCATAGAAAGCCTAGAAATCCCCAATCTCATCTGTTCCTAACTTGCTCATCACAACCCCAACTTCCCCAAACAGCATCTGTAGCCACTATCTGACACCCCAGCAATGTCACCAAAGCCAGTCCTCACCATAAGAGAGTACTTAGTGCCATCACAAAAGCATCGATCTACAGCATGCTTTAGAGCTGACACCATGCGGACATTATGTGAATTATCATGAATACTTCTTAGCTTTAGTCAACAATCCAATAAACTTTATAGTTCACCATGTGTTTCAGAAATTTTTAAGCCAGCCAAAAGCAACATAATTAGCTAATGCATAGTTAATAACAGACACACATATTGGCCTGAGAGAATGTGTCTTCTAGTTACTTTCTATGTACACTGTCTCATTCTACTGTTCAAAGCCAATTAATATACTTCTTTTAGGTCCTAAAATTACCACCACCCAATACTGTTAGTTGAAGAATGTTTATTCTGTCCTCATATTCCAATACAAGTAGAATAGAGCCTATACACTGAATGTGTATATATGTAATTTGTGTATGTGTGTATATGTATATATGTAATTTTCACTTTTGCTGGGATGTGTGTGGGGGGTGTGTGTGTGTGGTAGTGATATGTGTATGCAATCTGAATCTCAACCATAGACCACAGGAAACAATTTGAGTGAATGTTTTCATAATTCTCCCAAAGATATGTAGGCAGACAAAGGTTGATTTTTTTTTATATACAAAAGATCCTTTGGGGAATTTCTGCTTAATTCTATTTCAAAACCACAGCTGAGAAACAGAAAAGGTACTACATATCATAATCCTTCTTCTGTATATAAAATGTGCTTGAAGTCTATGTTTCCACATACTTTTATGTACTTATCTAAATTGTGGTAAAAATAAAATGTGTAATTTCCAAAAATTCACTGAAGTTGTCTTTATACTTTTAACACTGCAATTCACTATGAATAAGAAAAACCTAAAGTACAAGATCACAATGGCAAATAAATACATTAAAAAATGTTCAACATCATTGGTCATTCAAGAAATGCAAATTAAAATAATGCTGAGATTCCACCTCACTCCAGAAAGAAGGGCTGTTATCAAGTAATCAACCAATAGCAAATGCTGGCAGGGCTTTGGGGAAAAAGGAACTTTTCTCCACTGTTGGTGGGAGTGTAGACTGGTGCAACCACTACAAAAATCTGTGTGGACTTTTTTGCTTCCAGATCGGCGCCATCATGGGTCGCATGCATGCTCCCGGGAAGGGCCTGTCCCAGTCGGCTCTGCGTATTGGCGCAGTGTCCCCACCTGGCTGAAGCTGACGTCTGACGACCTGAAGGAACAGATTTACAAACTGGCCAAGAAGGGCCTCAGTCCCTCACAAATCGGTGTGATCTTGAGAGACTCTCAAGGCGTTGCACAAGTACATTTTGTGACGGGTAATAAAATTTTGAGAATCCTTAAATCTAAAGGACTTGCTCCTGATCTCCCTGAGGATCTCTACTGCTTAATTAAGAAAGCAATTGCCCTTCGAAAGCATCTTGAGAGGAACAGAAAGGATAAGGGTGCCAAGTTCCATCTGCTCCTGATTGAGAGCCGGATTCACCGATTGGCTCCATAGTGTAAGACCAAGAGTGTCCTCTCCCCCAGTTGGAAATATGAATCATCCACAGCCTTTGCCCTGGTGGCATAAATTTGTCTGTGTACTCAAGCAATAAAGTCATGATTTCACTAAAATAAATAAATAAATAAATGAATAAAATCAGTGTGGAGATTCCTCAAAAAACTAGGACTAGAGGTTCCATTTGATCCAACTATCCCCTCTCTTGATATCTTCAAAAAGAATTAAAAGCATCATACTACAATGATATATCTACACCCATGTTCACAGAATCACATTTTTTAATAGCTAAATCTTGGGAACAACCAAAATGCCCACCAATGGATAAAGAATATGTGGATTTGTTTATACAATGGAGTATTATTCAGCCATAAAAAGGAAATTTTAAAAATATTTCTAGCTAAATAGATGCACCTAGAGACCATTCTCTTAAGTGAAATATATCAGACAAACATGTAAATATCATCTCATTTCTCTGGTGTGAGAAACTGAAAGTGTAAATAAGGACCAAAATGTACACTAGATATTACGAAGTAGGAAGAAAATGTTCAAATGGGAAGGAGTACAAGCGAGGGAGAGGAGGGAGAGGAAGGAAGATACCTGAAAAAAAATGAGAATATGGAGATAAAATGGAAATAAAGCTCTTGTAAATAAGAAGAGGAAGAAGGGTAGAAGGGAGAGGAGGGGAATGGGAAAAAATATGAATAAAATTAAATTATAAACAGGTACAAATTCCATATGATGAATGTGATCACTATGAATATCTAAATTGCACCAGTAACGTTAATGATAAAAAATTAAAGAAAGAAAAGTTCAAAAAATAAGTTATCTGAACAAAATATTTAACTCACAGATTTTCTTTGAAATGTTTTTATTGTTGACCAAAAAAATCCATTAAAATGATTCACAGTTGAATGTACTTGACAACCACAGGCACATAATTCTTTTTCTTTTCCTTAAATTCTTTCATTGGTACATTTTAGGTATACAATACGTTTACATTTATCATTGGGTGCTTGTACCTGTACATGATGTATCTTGGTTTTTATTTTTTCCCCATTACATGTGTGACCTTCAGCCCTCCACCCTTCCCTATTTACATAGACTTCGTTTCCATTTTTTTTTCTTCTCTCATAATTTTTCCTTTCCCTCCCACCGCCCCCTACCTCTTTGGACCTTTTCCTATTACAAAGTATCAATTATTCATTTTTAATCCTTTTAATCCTTATTTACACTTTCAGTTTCTCACACTAGAGAAACTATTCAGCATTTACACATGTGT